CAGGCTTTGCAGTTTAGAAGCAGCTTTACAATGCCTGGTCCTTTACATTTTAACTCAAGCTTTGCAGTTTAGAAGCAGCTTAGAAACTTTATCCTTTCAAAGTGATATAGTAAATGTGAGGTTATTAGGGTGGATTTCTTTAGATATAAATATAGTTAGATACAGAGGAAATCCCATGAAGATTTGGGGATTTCAGAGAGAAGACAGCCAAGCCAAGAACAGAAACCTCAAGATAATGACAGTTTGATCTTGGACTTTTAACCTCCAAATTTTTGAGAAAATACATTTCTGTTATTTAAGCCACTAAAACTGTGGTACTTTGTTATAGTAGGCCACAAACTAATACACTGATGGTAAGTACTCAGTTAATGTCAATTAAATTTGTCTCTTAACAGTAGTAGGGATCAAACCCAGGCTCTTTGCACATGCTAGGCAAGTGAACCAGACTAGCTCAATATCCCTTTTTTTTTTTTAAGAGAGAATTTTTAATATTTATTTTTTAGTTCTCAGCAGACACATCTTTGTTGGTATGTGGTGTTGAGGATCAACCCGGGCTGCACGCATGCCCGGCGAGCGCGCTACCGCTTGAGCCACATCCCCAGCCCCTCAATATCCCTTTTATACATTCATAAGGCCTTCACTCTTTTCCTTCACACAACCTTTCCCAGTTTGAAATTACATATTTATGTGTGTTTTTCTAATAACCGGTATCTCTTGTGGTAGACAGTAAAATCTATTACAGAGATGAGCCTATTTTACCCTCATCACCACCACAGTTCTCTGTTCATGCACATAAAAGCAGCAATAAATAACTTTAACTAAAGAAATGATAAATGAAAAGTTCCCAGTATTCAGTATCATGATAGCTACCATATATTGAGCCCTTATATGCCAAATGTTTGACATGGATTGTCTGGTTTAATCATAAGTGCCTAAAAGCTATTACCAAACTCGGGTCCAAAGGCTCATCTCATGGAAAAACCAGTGTCTGAGAGACGCATGCTGGGGAGAAAGAAAGGCTTTATTCAGTGGCCAAAGAATGTAGAAGAGGGAACTTTGCTTAAAAATCAGCATTGTAACTCCAGGGACTTGAGGAGGTACAGACAGTATAATAATGATGAGGGTGAGAGAGATAGCCTAATAAAAGGGAGAGAATGTTCACATATTTTTGGAGGGATTAGGTGAAGATCTTTCAGGAACTTGGGTGTCATCTCTTTTCATTCCTTTCATGGTCTGGTATTTCTGATATGGTAGCTGGTAGGTGTCTTTAAAGAGTGGAGGGAGAGAGACTAAGGCAAGTCTAGTTCAAATTAACTTGTGTGGTGGTTTTGAGCAAAATATTTCTGAAATGATCAACATGTCTACATACAGTGCTGAGTAGAATTTGACTCAAAGGTTAAGGCAATAAAGGAGACAGACACAATGTGAAGACAGAGGTGCCAAGCCTTTTCATCCCATTCCAGTCACCCATTGGACATCGGTAGGCCCAAATGGAATCAGTGTTTTTATCAAAATCAGCCTTCAGGTCTCTAAAGAGTAATCCAGGCAACTGTTAAAATCCACACTTAAGTAGTATTATCTATAGCAGAGCTTAGTGGGAGACTAATGTATTGAACAGCTGTATGACATCCCTAATTAGTGATCTTTATTTTAAATTTTTTAGTTGTAGTTGGACACATTGCCTTTATTTTCTTTATTTTTATGTGGTGCTTGGGATTGAACCCAGGGCCTCACATGAGCTAGGCAAGCGCTCCAT